AAATTGAATAAATTTGGGATATGGTTAGCAATCAGCTCCAGCTGTCACAGAATGGCTGACCTGGCTGTAAAACTACACTAAATCGGGCAGGATATCCATCAGCACAGCATTAGACATTTGTATGCATCTATGGAAAACTGCATTTCTCATGCATTAATGCCTAAAGTGGCCCTATGCCATGCTAATCTTTAATAGTTCAGAGCAACTCTTGATGTAATAAATGATAGTACAGTCAAAAGTCGTTAATCCGGTATCGTTGGGACTTCGGCGAATCTGGATTATAGATCATCAGTTTAAATCTGGTAAGATGGCATGCAGAAATCATAAAATTAAAAATATGAAACCGTAATTTATGAAATAAAGAACAATTATGATCTAAAAGGTATCAAAATTTACAAAAAAACTTAATATTTATTTGTATACTTTATTAAACATTTCTTCAATGTAAGTTGTTTAAGTTGCTTCGTTTTATGTGATAATACTTTCTCTTTCATTCTATAAACAGACATAATTTCTTGTTCAGTTACAAAGTTCTGCTGTTCAAGTATTATAATTGCGGTGTCGAGAATACCGACTAATTTGTCAATCGAAATTGTTTCGTTTTCAATAACCTCTGTGTCACTTTCTTCACTGTCGGAAGTGATATTTTCTGGATCTAGAACCATGCTACAGATTTCCCTGTCCGTTAATTGATTGATGATTAGGGCATTGTCGTCACAATGAAAAACTTCTCTTATATCATCTTCATTTATTACCGTTTCTCCCCATTTCTTTACAAAATCCAATAACTGAAAAATTTCACCTTTAGTTTGTGATGTCCGAAAACCTTCAAATTTGCGGCTATCATATTCATCCTCCTCACCATGAAATATGGTAGATAGCCATAAATTATGCCAAGCATTTTTTAACCTACCAGGAGACACATCCTCCCACGATCTTGCGATGCTCACACGGCAGATTTTATGCTAAAAAATTTCAAAAATTCTTGAATAGTTTTGCCACTGTTCAAGAAATTTAACATAGATTTTAAAAATGCTTCTTTATATTTATATTGCATTTCAGCACGTGCACTATTCCCACATCCATAGGCTGAATGATAGACGTACAATTTGGAGGGAAGAATAATACAGATACATTATCTTTCACTAAAACTTTAAGTGAAGTATGTGCCGAACAGTTATCAACAATCAGGACTATTTTTGAGTCATCAGGTAAGCTAAACAAACTCAAATGAAGCCGAGCCTCGGGTATAAAATCGTTACTCCTTTAAACGCTCGAGGTTGTGCACGTTTTCCGATTACGAAAAGTTTGCACTTGTGCGTTCCTGCAGCATTTGCGCATGCTAAAATTGATAGTCTCGCTTTCGAATCTTTGACACCAGTTGGAACCTTTTCTGTAGAGGTTGCCAAGGTATTTCGCAGTACATATAGCCAGAAAAGACCAGTTTCATCAGCGTTGTAAATTTGTTCTGCAGATAATTGTTAACTAGTAATGAATTCAATAAATTCATCTGCAAATTTTTCAGCAGCTTCAGTATCAGCTTCACCTGAAATTTTTAATTGTCTTATACCATGGCGATTTTTAAATTTGGTTAACCAATTTGTCGAAAATGTGCACTCTCCGTTTAAGTTCATTTCTTCATGAAATATTTTGGCCTGAGCCTTTACCATTGGACCCGTCACTGGCACGCCCTTCGCTGTGATGCTGTCTGACCTATTCAATCATCACTTTGTCATGATCGTCACTTTTAGCATAACAAACCCTTTTTCTGTTATTCATTGCAAATGGGGTTCGGAATCCACACAAAAAATCAAGTTTCTTTTTTTTTTTTGCTTATGTCATATACAGCTGACTTTTCAATGTAATACTCCTTGTATAATTTTGGGACGGATATGCCTTTATCCAATTTTTGCAGCAATTCCACTTTTTGTTTGATGGACATCAAAACATACTTTCCCTTTGTAGATCCTTTGGGAGCTCCAGCATCTGAAATTCTATTTGACATAATCGAAAGTTCAAGCTTACTTTTCTAAAATTGCTCTAACAATCTGCAAAAAATAATAAGCCGGATCCAATTCGAAGATTAAGGAACAACGCAATCTGCAACATTAACTGAAATAGATAATTTTAGATTATACCGTCCGTTATACATTAAATGTGAATGCGTAAATGTATTACGTGCATGCGCACACGCATATGCGCAGTCGTAAAGGTCTTACGCGCACGCGTAAACGCCTACGCGCATGCGTCAACGCGACGAATGCGCAGAAAGTTTCTAGCTTTGAGGTCCGGATTATGGGTGTCCGAATTAACGACTTTTGACTGTACTGATTCTTCAATTTTCTCATGTCTTCTTCATTGTCTGCCCCATGCCCTTAACCAGGTTTCATCACAATCCACCACTTTTTTGATAGATTATACTTCAGTAAATGCATTTGGAAATTTTGTGGTTCTATTCTTGAGGACATTATGCAAAAGACAGAAAAGTTTATTGACTTTAAAACAAGCTCTTTAAAGACTATAAGAAGTGAGTTCACCAATGAAAATAACTCTCCATTAAGAAATTCCCCATAAATGTTTAGAATGATTTTAAAAATTAAAAATCCTTTAGACTGAAAAGCAAGAATATGTACACCTTTTAGTTAAATGAGGATATATCTAAACATTTTTATGTATGCTTTCATTTCAGAAAAGAACTCACTTTCTATATGGATGTAATTGAAAGAGATACAGGCACAGCATTGAAAGATAATGCTGACAATGAAACAAACTCATCTTTAATAAATGATGATATATATTTAGCAAACTCAAGTAAAATGACATGCAAATAATTATTTGGCAGCCATCATATAAGGCATTAAAATTTTTTTAATTCTTTACATATTGCATGTTTTAAAGTGAAATACATTATAAATCAAATCACATTTACATGTATACATATACATACATATGTAGGAGGCATACTCATCGACACCCGCTGAATCAGCAAATTCCCAGCGAAGTGCAATGTCATCTGCTGCTAGCTCAGTGCAGTCGAGACAACACCCAGAGGCAGATGAGTACCTGACCTGCTGCGAACAAGATGTGTTTCTGCGAGGCTTTAAGTTCCGGGTCCAAGCGGACGATGCTTTTGTATAGCTAGCCATGGATGAGGGGAGACGTGCTCTCTTGAGATTTATAACAAAGACTATTTCCAGTTATGTCTTTATAATTGACATTACTGTTAGAGACTAATAGTTGACTTAACAAAATTGTGAGGTTACAGCTGCTAATGTCAATTTCATCTATCACCAGTTATATGTTCATTTCATCTTTTATCATATTTTCATTCATCTCATTAATTCATAAATAAAGTAGTTAATTATGTTCTTGTGCTCTTCCTGTATTGTGTAATCTTACTTTCACACACACACACACATTCTCCTGCTATTTTATCCTGGATTACTGTGCTTTTAATATATTGACTTAATTTCTTTCACATATTTTAATCTTCACATATATATACGTTCTTACAGATATCACAAAAAATATTCTAGACCATATATATACGGCCTTGCCGGTTAGAGGGTTAAAAATAAAAGAAGAAAAACACGTATACTGTTTTTATATTGTTTAGTTTGTTATACAGTGATGGAATGTACACTGCTACAAGATAGATAATAGCTTTCAGAATTAACTACATGGACGATTAACCACTGTGGTAATGGAAAGATTGTAGACACGTTAAAAAAAAAAAAAAAAAAAAAAAAAAAAAAAAAAAGACAGATACAGAAAACTTAACTGCACAAATTTAAAAGGCTAATTAATGTTTCAGATCAAACCACAGATAACAACATTTAAAGCATCTGCATTAAAAATAAAACCAAAATTGACTTATATATTATAATTTAGGTATTTGTACTAACAGCAATACTTAATTTTAATTTAAGAAGTAAATACCTATATGGACACTGTCTTATTATCTTCTGGAGTATCGAACAGAGTAACTATGACAGCAGCATATTTATTAAACTATTAAAAATTTCCAATGTTTTTCTATTTCTATACATAGATTTATTATACTTTATTTTCAATTTTTTATTTATATTATTATTACTATACAATACTTACTTAATTTCCAAATTTAGCAATAAATGTTATTAACAAAAAGGCCTAAGAAAAAAGTATGTCAAGATATTAAAAAAGAGAAATTTTTATTTTTGCTCTTATTTATAATTCGTTATTGCACAGTCTTTTAGGGTTATTCCCAAGACCAAGCAATTATGAACTAGGTTAGTTGGTTACAGAAAAACATACTACAGCTATGTACAGAAGCATTTGCATAATGAAAAATTAAAAATGTAATTACTTAAGAAAGCAGTAAATGTAGTTTTATTTTTTGGGAAAAAAGAATGCACATTCAGCAGTCTTTCAGAGAAACTTCAGGACATAATACAGCATACAAACATTTTAGTGACTTAAATGATCACACCTTAGGCAATCATTTTTTTTTTACAAATGGCCGGCTTTTGCCTATAATGGCATTGGCCACTACTAAGGGCAGAAGTGGTAGCCGTTTTATTATGGAGGCACCTAACAGGCGGCCACCGTTACCTCCTATGAAGAGACAGACAATTTTACATCCATGCCTTCTCCGGGATTTGAACCCGGACCCTTTGGTTTCGTCTGGGCGGCCTTTTAGCAATCCTTAAAATAATTTAAAAATAAAAATACTTATATAAATGACATTAACTAGTGAGAGAAAAAAAAATCATTCTTAAATATATATAATGACTCAAAATTAGAGGAATTGAGATAGTTTAGAACTTGAATCTACAGTTACACCATTGAACATAATTTTAGTTCAGCATACAACAGTAAATTAGACCTGATCGGATTAAAATTTCTTAGTTTTCAAATACAAAAAACAAGAACTAAAACTTAAAAAAAAAAAAAAAAAAAAAAAAAAAAAAAAAAAAAAAAAAAAAAAAAAAAAAAAATTAATAATAAAAAAAACCAACCTTTGAGCTTTGTAAGAGGGGACATGAATTCTTCTTCTGTTTCAGAACTTGTGCTACTGATGTCTAGAACTATATCCTTGTCAGGATTGATTTTCAAAAAATTACGGCATTGGTAAGTAAAATGGCCAGCTAATGGACGGAAGACTGATGTTAGGAAACAGAAACAGATCACAAGATACACACATTCCAAAATAAATAAAATCAATAGAAAAACTGTAAGCATTGAACTGTAAATTTTAAAAGAGACCAATACATACAAATTTTGTAGTGGAATATGTGTGCCCAAATGTCACGTACATACATGTGGTACAGGATACTATGGAGTGGGAGATAAAGTGTTCTACTGGCGTGAGTTGTCATTGACCTTGCAGATTTCAAAAGATATGCATCATCATCCAAAAATACAGCTCACTGACATGCATTTTATCTGTACACAGGGTTCGTAGCCACATTTTAGTTAAAAAAATAAGCACCTATAAGCACTTTTCAAGCACATTTTAAGAAAAAAATAAGCACCTGTCTAATTACATTATACACAACTGCATAAACTTAAAAGAAAAATTAGACTTGTAATTTAAAATATGAGCAATGCAATATTTATTAAGAGAATGAGCATTACCTCAACCATGGAAAACAATTAACTTTTTTTTTTAAAATTTTAAATGACAGTTTAATTTACAGAATTAGTTTACAATGAGAGAAAAAAAAGCTATGCAGAACTAAACTATATTACAAGATTTAATGATGAAATTTCAGTTCAAAATATAGAAAATAAATAATAAGCCATATTAATTGTATTCGTTTCGCACCTAATAATAAATACAATTTATTTTTCCACTCATATTAATATTTAAATACGAGTAATTTAACTTAAATCAAAATTCTGAACATTTTCTAAATTTTCATTGCATAACAGTTTTCGTTTAACATATATTCCAAGCAAAGTAATTTAAGTAAAAAAGAGGCACATTTCTGAAATCAGAAGACAGAAAATTGTTTCATGCAGTCATCCTTTAACAGTAAAAGCTTAACTAACCCGCATACTCGGAAATTGCCGATTATTCCGGATAGTAACTGGAAAAAGAGGAGTGGGGGAGATTGTAGCCGTTGTTTAGATTTTCTTTCTCGGCTAAAATAATGATTTTGACATTTCGATATGTGCATCATATAAAAATAGACCAACGGAACTCAAAAATATTCTGCTTAGAAAGCACAGTAAAACTCTTTTAAGTGTTCATAAACAAATCTCAGACTGAACATCAAAATTAATTATCTCTGCAAAATACCGCAAACATTATTGCGCAATACGTGCGGCGTAATACTTCCACATGTGATATTACACAATTGGAATCAACAGCTGCCGGTATTTGGAGAATAAAGAATTAAATAAAGGAAAAGAAAGAGACACTAATCTGGGGTGTTTCCGATTCTAATTATCAACAGACTGCGTTAAATTTTCGGAACAGAATCAATCTTTGCTTGGGTTGGGTAGACCGCAAAAACTTTTAGTCCTACTCAATCCAGATTGGACAGTGACAAAAAAAAAGGTCTGCTGCTTCAATACTAGAGATTTTGCGGAGAAAGGGGAAAAACCCATCAACCTCCGTACTCATTTGACTCATTTGTAATGTGGAGTGACTCATTTGTAATGTATAGGCAAAAAAGAAAAAAATATTTTGACTATTCGATTACTTTCCTTTTATTTAAGCCATTCCGAATATTATTCCTTAGAAATCTAATCTGTGTAAAAGCACACCCATTTTTGGAAGTTTATCTATACTTCAGCAGTTACTGCAACTATATTATTATAAATATTCATGCATATGTTCATAATAACAGCATAACGATCATAATAAACACGAATATGAACTGACCACGCGGAACGAGAATGCAAATTATTAAAATCTTGATAGAAATCCAAACGTGTGTAGTATTTGGATGAGAGGAAAAGAATACCGAATGTACCGGAATTTTCTACCCTTTTCGCAATTCTTTGACCAATAGAACGACGTGCACCTGTCTGTACTCTCGTGCGCACCATAGGTTACGTTAATGCAGAGAAAGGGGGAAACAACTTCCGGGAGTATGATTCACCATCTGGCGTTGCATATAAGGAAGAAAAGTTGTTTATTTACTCGTAGTTTCAACTTTGGTATGGGGAAAAAATGTGCCTTTATTAAAAAAAAAAAAGGATTAAAAAAAGCACTAAAAGCAAAAAATAAGCACTAAAAACAAAAAAATAAGGGTTTTAAAGAAAAAGTAAGCACCTATAAGGGCCTTTATATTTTATTTTCAAATATAAGGACTTATAAGCACTTGTAAGGACCGCTACGAACCCTGTGTACAGCTGAAAATGGAAATGCAGTAACTGCTTAAAGGATGCATATGGGACTTGCACATCGTACCTCTTTGATTTTAATCCCAGCTCCATATATAAAATGTATGTCAGCAAGTTTTGTGTTCATGCAGCAATGCATACTACTACAAATCCAAAATAGAAATGACATTTTACACCAGCTGAATGATATTATCTTCTGCTTGATAGCAGTTAGTAATAATTCAATGTGCCATTTTGGCACACACATTACATTACAAAATCTGCTTGCTTTTATCTATTCTAAATTTTGGCCTTTATATTTTTGCTAGATATTTTCTGAGTATCATGTATATACAGATACATGTACAGGTAAAAGGTTCTGAGACATACTGTGGATAATAGCAAACACTGCAGAAAATAGAACATTTGTGAAATGTACATAACTATGGTTAAGTTTAACCGACAAATTATGCCAGTAAAACATTACAATGATTAAATAAAGTAACAAAAATGTAGTGTCTAGAATGCATTATGTACTGTATTACAAAACACAATAACATATAATATTGAAGAGAAACTGAATTAGGGATATTTGTCTAATAGTGTGAAGCACCACCTTTTGTCATGATGACGGCAGCGATGGGAAGCAACACAAACCCACAACTCCTGAACAACCTCCCACAATTCATGAAAATTAGATGGAAGGTGATTAGAGCCTCGAACATCCTTTTCAATTGCATCCCAGATGAGCTTGATCAGTTTCAGGTCAGGTTACCTTGATGGCCAAGAAAGCATGCGCAGGTCTGTGGAATGTTCATCCAACCATTTCGATACAATTTAAGAGCAATGACACTGTGCATTTTCTTCTTGAAAGATAATCTCTCTAATGAGCAGTCAAAAACAAACATTCAAGAGCAGATGGTCGTCAAGGGTATCCTGGTAACGTTCACCCATGAGAGATGACATCACACATATCAGCGGTCCCATTTCAGTCCCTGTGAACACTCCTCAGACAAGAATATCACCTCCACGAGTTTGAAGAATCCCCTACTGGCAGGAAGGATCCATCGCTTCATGCGGCTTACGCTGTAAACGTACTCTGCCATCAGCATGTTCCAAAAAAATCTCATCACTCCAGGCAACATTTTTTTCACATCTCAACAGTCCATTAGCGATGTTCCTGTGCCCATGCTAATCGTTGTGCCATGTTATGCACAGTCAGGCAGAGAGACTCTTGTAGGATGATGACTCCCATACCTCATTGAGAAGAGTAGTAGTTTTGTACAGCGTGGCAGCTTACACTTTGCTGTATATTAAACTGATGGGTGATCTGTTGCACTACGGCTCATCAATCTGCTGTTACAATGAGGGCTAGACACCGATGACCTCAGTTATCCAAGTGCTGTTGTCTGTGGCAGATGATCCTCGCAAGGTGATTTTACTGGAATCGACATACTCACGGTACACCCTCAACACAGTGGTGCATGTCTGCACTACTAACAAAATGGAGTGACTCATTTGTTGAGCCCTGATAATTTGGCCATGATCATATGCACTTAGATCCATACTCTTACCCGTCCTCGCTGAACACTGGTAGTTCGGTCCGAGGTCCGAATCCCACGAACGGGCTGGCTGCATGGGTGTTTTCGTGGTTTTCCCCATGTGTAACATGTATACGAGCCAGTTTCCCTTAGAAGTTCTCCACGAAGGCATCCCTCCCCTTAGGCAGATTGCCCTAGTGTGCTTTGCCATAATTAAATACACCACCACCCATACTCTTACCCATTTTGCTTTTGACTATTACCGATACCATAAGCAGCACTACTCATCTTGACAAACTGCTGATATCATTTGCAAGTCACTTCAAGGCTTTTGCATAGCTCAAAATTTACATAACACTAGCTGTTCAATTGTTCAATTGCTCTTCAGTATATTATACACTAGAGGGGAATGATTTTGATTTATTTTATTTCAGCTTTTATTTACCTGTTAGTATTTAGTTTTATTTTATATATATATATATATATAAACTACTTTTATTCAAATTTTGGTATTTATTAACCTTTTCTAAACTTTTTCTTGTTTAATTTACAAAACATACACACACACACACACACACACACACACAAAAAAAAAAAAAAAAAAAAAAAAAAAAAAAAACTAAATTTCGGTAAACGTTTTGAGTACTATACTTTTGAGTTTTGGAATAGAAAGGATGACCATCTAGCAATGATGAAAAGGGCACATGGAACAAAAAAGTTCGAGAGCCCTGCATTAGAGTATAACTCTACATCTCTGAAAGAAAGGAAATGGTGTATTGTAACTTAATCGAGCAAAGATTAGTGAGAGATGAAACAATGTACTTCTCATACTGTACAGAATAACATAATTCAAAAGATGGTAGAAGAAGGAATTTTTCCTTCTCCCAGCACCAACAACATACTAGTAGTTTTTAAGCACTTATAGCTTCCTTATTCTTACAATTGTAGGCATTTATTGGTGTAATTACAAGCTTTAAGAGATCAACAGCTACAATAACAAGTTACAAGACAGAACAAAATCACTATGAATTTACACTATGAATCACAGAACAAATTCACCAGTCAAATAAATTAAAAAAGATGAAGTATAGGTACAGAAACAGACACTAAGTCAAATACTCTCCCATAACCGATAGCCAAAATTTAACCTTTTTAGTAAGCATCAAATTGGTATGCAAGCTCAGATTTTAAGATGTTTGATGTAACCTGAGAATATGTATAAAGTTCTAAAATGAACATTTCTTTTGCATGCATTTAGTTACATTGGCCTG